AATGTCAGAATGCTGTGTCTGAAACTATTCGGGTTTGCACTTTGTCGTGTATGTAGATCACTTTATAACTGTAACTGTTTTATCTGATCTCTTGATAAACCTGTCTCAATAAGCCAAATTGGTTTGTGTTCAAGGTAAAGGCCTCTATAAACCATTTCCATAAACTCAAAGTGTGTATAATTGGCAGTCACATCAAACATTATCTAAAACCATGTGCAGAAAAACAGTTTAATTTCTTACACTGAAAATATAGAAACAAGTAGCTTTTAGGTTCTAAAACATTTGCATTTAAAACACTTTAAATGTAGCTGTAATCATATTATGATCAGAGTTTTTTTTAATATCTACTGGGTACAAAGAGGGCAGATTTGTCTCAGCCAGCTTGAACTCTAAGGTAACAACATCACAGCAATTTGCCTGTAAGTTCACTAACATAAACAGAACTGGATCAGAGCTTTGTCTGGCAGATCCATCCTCTCCAGGTATCCCAGTGCTGAGGTGTTCACTGACAGTTTCCCCCTCTGGCTCAGATTCTGGATGGTAAACAGCATCTCTGAGCTCTGGGGAATGTGGTAGGCGTAGAGCGCCAGCTGCTTATGGGACACCCGGGGATCAAGCAGGATGTAGGCACAGGCTTCTGTGTCACGGCCCAGCCTGAGAGGGTCGTCGGCAGTGTGTCTTCTTCTGGTTCCCAGAGGAAGATGACCATAAAAGCCCTTACAGCTCTGCTGAGGATGGTAAAGCTTGATTTGGAGGCAAGGCAAAAACATAATCTTAGGTAAGAGTGTGACTTAGTTTTCAAATTGTAGAAGATCGCTGCTTTTAACCGGTAAAATGGAAAACAAGGAATGCAAAGTATCTCAGTAAAAATATTCAACTAACTGTGCTGTCGCTGCCAGAGAAAAATATGAATGAGTCTTTATGACTACTGCTCTTTACAAGCGGCTGTCTTTGTTTCAAGGAAGTTTCCTCATTGGCTCTGCAGTAACCCTGCTGGTTTCAAGTGCAAATCTGCAAATATCAGAAAGACTGTTCTGGATGAAGTAAAGTTCACGTTATTGGAAAAGAAAAAAAAAGTTTATTTGATTTGATTTTGTTAACAGTGTAGAATTTAGGGTAGGTTTCTGTAAGACAAGTCAGGAAAATAGAATTTCCCTGAAAAACGTGTTTAGTGAAGAAATACTTAAGAGAGGACTCTGTGACTGCATGGCTACTATTGACACAGTATATTCTCATAGCCTGGTGAGTAGTCTAACACACACTCTATGGATGAGCGTATGAATGTCACACTACACTGGTGAAATCTCCACCTGGAGTCCATGGATGACCCTTAAAGTTGACATGAAGGCACAGCATCTGTTTCACAGTATCTAAAACTAGAGCGGGAAGAAGGAACTCTGCAATATTCAACTGTTACACATTAACTAATCCTCTGCCACAATATGAGTCAAGCAGAGAAAAGCTAATGTTAATAAATGTCGAAGGAGAGGTGGATATGACCAAACATGTACAAACCATTTCATACCACAGCTTATGAAGTCACTTACTTAAGGGCTATGGTATGATACAGGAAATTTGTTTAAGGCTGTTCAGACAGAAAATAGTGCAGTATTATAATTTTTAACTGTACTGGGCATATTGAATAGAAAGTAGATTATATGTACCATAGAGTTATTAGTTATCATTGGCTTGAAAGGTCTAAAGTACTGGTTCACTTTTCTTTAAATTAACCAGTCCTTCAGTAGATCAATGCGCCCTCCTATACACGGGGTGGCGCTGTGTTTGTCATCGAATCTAGCT